CTTCCCGGAAGCCCAAGCAGAGACCAGTGGGATTCCTGGGCCCAGCTTCCTTCTTCAGGGTCGCGGAGTTTTTGTGCTACCGGATTGGCGTTTCCCAGCTGCTGCCACTGTCAGTGAGAAGCATAGCCGGCAAGTTTCCTGAGTCAGGAAATGGTCCTTTAAAATAACCCTCCTCAAATTTGAACTTGCAGCGGAATCTTTCGGGGATCTTGGTATAATGCAGCTCGGGATTCGGTAGGTAGTGGTGGGGTCCCACTTTCTGCATTCCTAAGGTCTTCCCAAGCAGTAACGATCCTCCTGGTCCCTGAAGGACGCCGAGTAGCAAGGCAATAGGAACAGGTGAGCGTGGATGCTGGCCTTGGCGACCTTAGGAAGGACCCTGTGCAGGCACAGAAACTTGTCCCGGCCAATAAAAGGACAGTTTGAACGCGACTCCAACACGAGAGTAATTAAAAATGTTTTTCTTCACGAACTAAATATACACAATGCACTTTTTCCTTTATGTTACATATTCATTGTAGAAATCTCATAAATAAGGTTTGTAAACTGATATCCATTGATGTCAGGTACTACTGAAACTGCTAGGTGGCGTTTTCTTTTTTTTTTTGGGCGGGGGGGCGCTTCCAGGAGCTCTGCTCCTTTATGTCTCAGGGCAGAAAGAATTCAGCCAGAGGCAAAGTGATGGATAAGAAGTGACTTATTAGAATAGGACGCTTGTGAGGCCTACAGGCGGGCAGGCGAGCGTTGTGCTGCCCCGAGTACTTCGTGGGTTACATTTTTATAATCAAAGGAAAAGTGGGGAGGGGGAAAAGACCACCTTCTTCCTCATTCTTGAGTAGATGTCATGTTTCCATCATCAGCTCCTCCTCCAGGTTGGGCAGGGGAGTTTTTCTTGTCCCTACATGGTCAAGCCGGGACTGTCATGGCACTATGGAAAAATTATTTCAGGTCTCAGTACAATGAGGGTCTTTCACTTTGAAGTGTCACCTTTCCATAAATTATTGTTTTTTATGTGTGCAGAGAGCATGTCCTAGGAGTCATTAACTTACTGAGCTCACTGGGCAGGATGTGAGTCTCATGCTACCATTGTTTTATTGTTTTGAGGCATGCCTCATACTTATGTTGCATGGTTTTGTGGTTAGGCAAACCTGCATTCTTGAGTGATCATTAACTTACTGTGGTCTCCCAAAGCTCCCTAAAGTTCCCTCTTTATCTACAATCCCCTAATGGGATTTCTGAGCTATTTGATTATCCTACTCTATCCCTATCAGTTTTTTCTTTTGAAGTAAAAATGAAATGAACATCTTAAATGTATATTTGCTGAGTTTTGACAAATGCAAACATCTTTGTAACTCAAATCCTATTGAGATATAGAACATTACCAGCACCCCAGAAAGTTCCTAAATGCTCCTTGCCAGTCAGTCCCCACCCAACCCAAGAGGCAACCACTACTCTGATTTTTTCTCCCACCACAATTAGTTTTGTCTGTTCCAAAACTTCATATGGATGGAATTATACAGTAGGTTCATTTGTGTAAGGCTTCTTTCAGTATAAAGATTCATCCATGTTTTTGCATCAGTAATTTTTTTTTGCTTAGTTGTATTCCACTGTGACTATACCACAGTGACTGCTGTATTCCACTGTGACTATACCACAGTTCTTCCATTCCTCTTTTGATGGAGATGTGGGCTGTTTGCAGTTTTTAAACTATTATGAATAAGGCTGCTATGAACATTCTTGTACAAGCATTTCTCATGACTATATTTCTTCAATAAGTGTTTATTAAGCACTGTGTTCCAAACACTTCCAGGTACTAGAGATACAGCCATGAACAAGACAAAGATATCCCATTTCTCAAAGAGCTTATCTCTCCTTGTTTCTGTGTATCTATGGAGGCAAGGGGATAGGCTGGGGGAGGAGGTAAATGTAGGTAACTATGAAAGAAAAATACCAGATAGTGATAATTGCTGGGTGGAGAAGTAAAATAAGGTGATGTGAGTGACTGGGTAGCTATGTTTCCTAGATTGCGCAGCCAATTTCTTTGTGAGGAAGTGACTTTTGAAGTGTGAACAAAATTAGAATAAGATCAAAAGGGAATAGCATTCTAGGGAGAGGAAGCAGGTGGTACAATGGCCCTAAGCCTGTTTTAGGATAGAAAAAAAAAAAAGCATATGTGCTGAATGAAGAAAACTTAAATTATATCAGCAGTAAATAGCAGGAGAGCCAGTTTCCCCCAAATTTAGCCATTGTTACTCTGGCCGATTGGACAGATTAGGATGCCACTTTCTTTTTATTTATTTATTTACTTATTTATTTTGGCTGTGTTGGGTCTTCTTGCTGCGCACAGGCTTCCTCTAGCTGCAACGAGCAGGGGCTACTTTTCGTTTCAGTGCGTGGGCTTCTCATTGCGGTGGCTTCTCTTGTTGTGGAGCCCGGGCTCTAGGTACGCGGGCTTCAGTAGTTGTGGTTCACAGGTTCTAGAGCGCAGGCTCAGTAGTTGTGGCTCACGGGCTTAGTTGCTCCGCGGCATGTGGGATCCTCCCAGACCAGGGATCGAACCCGTGTCCCCTGTATTGGCAGGTGGATTCTTAGTCACTGCGCCACCAGGGAAGTCCCTAGGTTGCCACTTTAACCTAGTTTTATCAGATTACTAATAAGGATGAATATTTCTTCATATCATGCTCTTTTATTGTGAATTACCTGTTTATATCCCTTACCTGCTTTTCTATTGCCACCTGCATCATTTTTTCCTAGCAATTATTGTGTCTTCTGCATAAGACTATAGTCCAGGGCGATGAGGCCTATGTTTATTTCACTTTACAGAGGGCTTGGCACTTACCTATTTCTAACGAGTAAACAGTAAATATTTGTAAATTTTACCTTGTGTCGGCAAGGTTAGTTCAAGACTATTTACATATTCAACTTTAGAAGTCGACTGGACAGAATTAGGGGAGAAAGCGTGAACTTTAAATGTCCCCTCTTAGCCAGCCTTCAGATGCAGTGTTTGAGTAAGGTATCTATCCAGGAGACTCCAAATGTCTGACCACCACCAGGTACCCATACTTTAGAAGTATTTCAATAACCCCAGAGTCACACGCGAGCGGGAAATACTCATTGACAGCCAAGCTTCCAAGGTCTGCCGCGTTCAGACTTCCGGTGTGAGCCCCGCGCAGGCGCTGATTAACTGTCGTCAGTGCCGCCGGACCCTGGGGCTAAAGCCACTTCCCATAATGCTGCGTAGCGGAAGTTGTTGCTTTCTAGGGGTCACGCTGGCTTCCGCTCTGTCGCTCTCAATTCGTCACCCAGAGGAAGACGGAGCAGGCTGCCCAGCCCGAGGGCCCATTAAGGGATGCAGTTATGGGCGCTGTCGCCGTGGGTGAGTTCTGCTCCCCCTGCCTCGCAGTCACCGCTCGCATGACTTCCTGCGCTCCGGGAGTCCGAATTTCCTGCCCGACTTCGTTCTCCTCTTGAAGGCCCTCGTCCTTAAGCACGTTCCCTGGCCTCGGCCCGGTACCGCGTTCTCATTGGCCTCGTGTCCTGTCCGTTCCAGGAGCTGACCAATGAGTTGTTGGTGCTGGCGCCCTCCTCGACCCGGTGGACCCCGAGGTTCCCCAGTGGGTGCGGAGCAGTTGGAAGGGAAAGGGAGGTGTGGCGAGCGCCGCGCGGCTAGGGGCACCTTATGGGTTGTGGCTGAGTTGGCTGCCGCGTCCGTGTGGTGGTTAGTAGTATAGGCAGCATCTGTCACCTAACCAATTCAGTGCTCCCAGGGTAGGATAAATGTACGCAAAACTTGAAAGCCGTGTTCTAGTCTTGCAAAGTTTTCCAAACGCTTGCATTTTTAATGGAACCGAGCAGGCGTGGGAAGACTGGGAGGGCGGAGAGGGAAGGGAACTGGATAATATGAGAGCCGGCAAAACCAGCTCTGATTTAAATTTTGTGTGGAGTCCTGCAAAAAGTAACGCTCATCTGAAGACTCGTCTGAAAAATTGTATAGATTTATTGATGTATTATAGCTGATAGTACTCACAGTACTCTCCTCTCACGACTCATTAAATGCCCTTTATAGTTGTCAAAAATTTATTGGAGGGGCTTCCCTGGTGGCGCAGTGGTTAAGAATCCGCCAGCAAATGCAGGGGACCTGGGTTCGAGCCCTGGTCCGGGAAGATCCCACATGCCGCGGATCAACTAAGCACCACAGCTACTGAGCCTGTGCTCTAGAGCCCGCGCTCTAGAGCCCGCGAGCCACAACTACTGAGCCCACGTGCCACAACTACTGAAGCCCGCGCGCCTAGAGCCCGTGCTCCGCAACGAGAGGCCACTGCAATGAGAAGCCCGCGTACCACATGGAAAGTAGTCCCCGCTCGCCACAACTAGAGAAAGCCCGCACACAGCAACAAATACCCAACACAGCCAAAAAAATAAAAATAAAATAAATTTAAAAAAAATTATTGGAGCTTTTCCACATCATTGAAGCAACCCCCTTACTGTCCTCTGCCTGCAGCAATTACAGTTCGTCTTTCAATTTTTACTTTGGAGTCTGGGCTACTGCAGTCCTCAAACCAGATTTGCTAGTGCTGTCTTCACTACTGCAGATTTCTTCATTCTTTACCTTTCTCTTTTTCACTGGAACTTGTGTGCTTCATTCTTATGTACCTACCTTTGCACCTTATAATCATCTTTAATGCCTCAGGTACTATTATCTTTTTCTATTTCAATGCAAGAAGTATTTCTTGACCTACTATGTACTAACACTATGCTAAATG